ATTTTGTAGTCTATATAACCTCCATCATCTAAATAATGCTTAATTTATTTTTCATAATAAACTCATTGATTGTTTGCCGGGTGGTTTTTGCTGTTAGAGATAACAAATTAAAAATCCAAAACTACCATATGACTACAATATAGAAATAGTTTAAGTTATGAACCCAACATATTTACAGCACAATAAACTTTCTGATGAGGTCGGTATTTTTCATTCAGGCTATCACTAAACCGCTTTTTTTTATCAGACTAAACACTAACAGACTTGTATCATAAATGTCCAGATACAAATAGTAATAAACAAGGAAGGAACAACGTGACATCATAGTAAAGTTATTGAGCAACTTTATAGTTAGTCATAGAAACACTCCATTCCAGATCCTATGGGCTCAACCAGTGTGTTCAAAAGTTTTTACAGCAGAAAGAGGTCAATAACCTTCAATTACTCTAAGTGGATAAAGTAATCAAATTCATTAAAATGCATCAAAGCTGTTAATCTAGGCAATAATTATACCTGAGAACCTAGGTTATCCGTTATCAAAATTTGATTTTTCCGGCTGTGGCTCACGTCCAATCAACATTTTTTTGTAGACAACAAAGTGATATTTTTAGACTGGTGGTTCAGGTAAAGCTTGGGTTCCATAAAATCGCTACACGCTATCGCCAACATCTTTCGTTGATGGTGATTGGTCAGTTGAATCAGGGAGCCTCCCTGATTGCGTCTGGGACAGCTACTGTACACAATGCAATGATTAAAGAATATGATGTTGCGATAGTGTAGCAATTCTATGGAATCTAAGCTTTATGGGCTAGATTTATCAAACTTCAGGTTTTAAAAATTGTCTTCAACATTTTTTTCCCATGATATCATTCTGAATTCAGATTTATCAGTCATTTTAATATCTGTGCAGCTGTATCTTGGTAAATAAGTTTTACATACTGTAGATGTGTTAATAATTGTCACATTTTTCTAGATTTTTAAATGTGAATCGGGTATTAATTTACAGAACATTACTAGAGTATGCAAGTTGGCAAGTACACTCATCTTTTGAATGACGAATTAATAAATATTAAGCTGAAAGAAATGGTAATCTCAAAGTTGTTGAATGTGTATTCTGGTAATTCTGTTTGTATCGTTAGATTTCAATTAATGAATGTTTATATATCCAAATCAACTGAGTAATAATATTTATTTATTGATTTTTCACTTTTTTTGGAGTGGTTGCTCTAGAGCAGTGCAACATTGCAGATCTAGTCTGAAGGACAAGGGCCCTCTTGAAAATACAAAAATATACATATAATAATAATTTTAAAAAGCCATTACATTAAAAAACACAATTTGGTTTGATTTTAGCTATCCATAATTTTAACTATCTCTTTTATATTATAAATTTGTATTCTTGTCTATTTTATTATAATTTGAAATTTAATTTGAACATTTTTGTTTTAAATAGGATTTGCGCATTATATAAATTAATAAATTATTAAAGTATTGGCAAAATAAAATAAACAATCGACAAAATTTGACAAATTTTGATCAGAAGATATTAAATTTCATTTTTTTTTATTCATCTTCAGAAGACATGACACACAAACATAGATTTCAAAGCAAACATTGCAATATTAAAAAGTGTTTTTTAACATTAAGTAAAGGCAGAAAAAAAGAGAAAAAAATAAATAAAAACATGACAGAAAAAAAAATGAGTCATTACTTAAAATGGAAAAGAAAAACACTTTTCAAACTTAACATTTTTTAACATTTTTTTTTTTTAGTTGTATATGTGACACTGCTTTATTATCCTTAAAAAACATAAACATATGAGATAGATTTGGAGTTTAATTTATAACTTTGGACAAAGGTAATCAAGACAATGAAGTTTCCTTTTTACATTCTACATAATAATATAGAAAAAATGATCACTTCCTATAAACCTTGCACTCGGGTCATTGTGGATTTTCAAAGCACTGAACTATATTATGCCAATATTGTGTTTGGCGTACAGATTTCAATTGAACGTCTACAGTGCATACTGTTGGAGCTTCACACACTAAACAGAGACACAACACTGACTCAACACATGCTTCAATCACTTGTTGGTATATAGCTGTCTTGTTGAGCTGTCGCAACACACAAAGCTGTTCTGCTTGTGTGCAAGGACTATCCACATCCACCAAATATGTGTTGCTGTTAGTACAGTATTAGGCCTACTATTTGGAGATATTGAAAACAACTTTGTTTTTTCTCGGATTTTTATAATCCTTTGAATGAAGATAGTGTTTTACTTCTTGTGGGGATTTTTATAAAATTTCATAAAAGGTAAACTATTATCGTTTACTTTTATTTATGTACTTTATTTTATATATATTTATTTATATTTCTCCCATTATGATTGTGCAGTAATTAAGTACAGTATATATTGTGGTTGAATGATTTTTATAATTAGATTGTTAAAGCAAGCAATATTTTATATATTACTAACAATAATATGAAATTATTTTCCTTTTTGCATAATTTTATGTTTAAATAAGTATTGTTTGTTTTTTGTTTTTTTTTATATTTCCATATCATGTTTCCTGACTTGCATTTTGTTGCTTTCATTTAACTTAAAGAAATATATAAAATTGATATTAGTTTTTGTTCTAGAATATTGTTTTATTTATATTTTATTTGTTTGTTTTCTTTTTTTACTGGGCCATTTATTTTTGCATATGAACATTGTAAGAATAATCTTAAAGGTATTAGGAACTCGATTCTTGTATCTATTTTTAGGAGGGTTTCTTTTTCAATCTGGTATAATTTTCCCACTTTTTGCTATATGATTTTGTATAAAGACTTGATTTTAGTTGTCTTTACTTTACAGTACATACTGTAGTTTTAGAATTAATCTATACTGTACAATAGTTTGGAATCTCAGCATTATATATCGTCGCTCACATCACGAACTAACACAATCAAAGTAGATTGTGTTAGTTCGTGAAATCACAGTAGCGCGTCAAAACGAGCGCGTATTGATTGTCAAGCAATTTTGTATTCTTTACCACACAAAAAGTCCTTAACGACAACAGCGCGTATTTTGACGCGCTTTTTTGATTTCACGAACTAACACAATTGAATTTAATTGTGTTAGTTCGTGATGTGAGCGACGATATCTTCAAGAATATAAGCTAATTTTAGGTTATTGATCTGAAGTATTTTGATTATTTTTTTAAATGTTTACACGTCTTATGTAGTAGGGTAATTTTGTATCAACTTCTAGCTATTCTTGTTAAACTTTTCTAACTTGATTTCCTTTTAAAACTTATTAATATTTCTTGCAACTTATATGTAAATAAAAATCACCTATTGAACATAATTTACACTGTTAATAGGTTGAAAAAAATGTTGGTATTCTGCTTGTTGCCATATAATTAAAATGTGAACAAACATTTTGCCAGACCTACCATTGCACAACAACAGAGCAATGATCGATGCATGGCTAATTCCATCGCAAATTAAATCTAAACAATTGGCAATTTCCCACAAAATTTGTCAGTGAGGGATGTGTTTAATTAAGCTATTTTTATATTTCAACACCGGTGTTCACTGTCAGTATGTATGAGAACTACAGTAAATCATCATGCCGTTTTTGTGTAAATGGAATTGCCTCTGGTAAATAATTACGGGTAAATAATTCAATTGCTTTTTGTAATTGTTATTAACTTTCAATTAAAAATTACAACTATTAAATATCTTCCTCACGAAAAAAAAAAATATACATAAAGTGCTCCTTTGACACATCCCTATAAAGTTGACACCTCTATATTAAATTATGAGAATAATTTCTGCGAAGAAACAAAGGTATATCTTTTAACACTACCAGTCAGCTTCTATTCAGGGGAATCCCCTGTTAGGGGACACTTTCATGGTCCTAAATGTATTCCCTTAATATTGAAGCTGAATGTATTACAGCATAGACCCATTTGTATGGTAATCAAAGAATTTTTTTGTAAAAATTGTTTGTAATTCTACAAAAACTGATGACTGGATGAAAATGGGTAAACTCATTTGGTCTGTTCATGACCAAATTCAATGTTCCAAATACTTTTATTTTCTATTGCGCTAAACTTCGCTACAATATTTTCTCGATAACAAGAAATTATGTACTCAAACTCTACTGCCCTCTCAGAAATATGTGTATGAATTGTTTGCAAATCATAATATTTTTTGACAGTCGAAAATTGCTGACCTCAATCTTGCTTTTACGTGCGCTCCAATTAATAATTCTAAGCTAAGACAATGCTAGCATGATAAATAACCTAAGTTGCTTGCTTAGGTTCACCTTAACCTTTTGACTTGAGATATTTTTTAAGCTGAGATTGATAAGGTTGCCAGGTTTGGAAACATTATTTTGTAAACAACATTAGGCGAGCTTGGCGGCTAATTGCCGAAAATCTCAATTTATGTTGTTTTCAGAGTTGACACTAATCAGGGCTTCTTCATCTAATGATAAAATAAATAACAGCCTTCATCATTCAAAATTTAAGATCAAATTCAATTACAGAGTTAATCTATGTATTATTGGTTTTATTAATAATATATTTATTGAGAATTATCATTTCCTTGTAAATTGATAACAAGGACATACTTATATCTTGATTTTGTTTTTAAATATCAGGAAAATGGGTGTTTAGGGTTTGGATTGCTTGCTGTTGGTATGTTCATCACCATTAAACATAGTTTAATGTTTTCAAAGTATTTTTTAGTTTGAGAACCATTGTAAATATGACACAACAGAAATATAAAAAAAAAAGAAAACCGATAGAAAATTATTGATTATCATCATTGAATATACGTAAAGGAAGACACATGTTTGAAAACAAATTTTCTTTTGCAATTTGTATCGCGATAGGTATTTGTATTTGCATTAATATATTTTTGGTTTATTTAACAAGTTTTTGCTTAAAAATGTTATTAACTTATTGTTATTTCCATTGGTTTTTTTTTTTTTTTTTATATTTAAGGTGTGGAAGTTTTAAGCATTACTAATACACAGCCTGTGTCAGTTCCAAGTGCTAAAGAAGAAGAGGGTGCTTCTAGGAACGATACTCGCTCATCTACTCCAGATTCAACATTGGTAAGATATTTACATTTATCTTTGTAATATAGAAACATTTATAATAAACAAAAAGAATGAAATATTGTGTTGGTAGGTTTTTCAAACTGTCAAAAAACAGTTTAATTTTGTTTACTTTTAATCTTTTAATTATTGTTATTTTGTTAGTTTTACAGGTTTCAGAATTGAAATGCAGCTAAAAAAATAATAAAATTATTCCCAGTATAAGAATGAATTCTGAGGCAAAGAATAAGAGCTGATCCTAAAGTTTTAATATTGATTGATCCTTGCCAGTGTCATCCCTTTCCTATTTGCTTTCCAATTTGGAACTACGTCTGTGTCTCATTAATTACTTTTAATTGATAAACATATTCACTAATTTTACAGTACATGTTTAATTCTCCAGTCGATACTTGTCGGAACATTTCATTTCAAAGAGAGTAATGTACCCTGTATGTGGTTAGTGGCCCATGTAGAAATCTCGGTTTTCCAAGTGGCCATTTATAAGTTCATTCATATGGGCATATTTTATTCCTAATGATCTTGGCATTAAGCGCTCACACACTGAGTGCGAACAAATTAATATTTTCAATTAATGGCGTTGATCAACATAAATACAAAATATCTGAAATTTTTTGGTTAAATTTATATTAACATCCAAAAGCTTCACTGCATATACAGTAGAATAGGATAAGTAAGAATAATGCATCTTGAAGAATGATCCTGTAATGATAATGAGAAATAGTGATTTTAATGAATGTTAAAAATAATAATAAATAAATATATTGAATTTTGTATGCATCAAATTGTTGTCAGTGTTGTAGTGCTATGACGGTAGAAGAGAAAAGGAACAGGAAGTGCTGTGATTGATGATACAGATACTTACACAATATTTCTTATAAATCTCATTTACCCTTAATCACTAACTATTGTACAGCAACCATATACTATATGGTTGCTGTACAATTTCAAGTTGATGGATGGAGGAATTTATTTTTATACCTAAGGTATAAAAATAAATCGGGTGATGTTGTCAGAACAATGATTCTGACATAATTTTTCAAAATGGGTTACTTTGTTGGAAAGTAGGGGTGACACATTAAAAATTACCTTGAATGCTCCACAAAGTAAACAAATATCATTATTGTTGATGATAGGTAGTTTATTATTAGGCCTACTGTCTTGTTGGTAATTCCTCATTTCCATGTCATTTGATACTTTTCATATTCTTTTACAATTTCTTTCTGTAGCATTTCAAAATACTCAGCTTAACATCCTCAGCAGTGAACTTAGTAAATGCTAGGGCTGATCTCGTGGGAGCCCTGGCTAAATTAATTACTTCTCAAACAAATTAGAAATGCCATGTACTTCTCAATTTGTCAGCATTTGCAGTATCCATGTCTCTGCAGAGTGCTACTGCTTAACAAAATTCCAGAAACAACATAGATTTTTGAGAAACCTAATTGTTACATTATATAATGGAAATATAATCAGGATGGTTAAATTAATCAATCAATTAAAAATGTAATTGGTTTTCAACAAATTTACTTTCTGAATTTCCTTAGCATGTACCTTTTTGAAAAAAGCTTTTAAATATAAGTTCTCTTTACACTCTGAAGCTAAAATAGCTGTTGTCAGTGGTAGCACAATCTCTTCAACGTCGTATTAAATTGGTTGATTTTGATTGTGGAATAGACAACCCAATTTTTTAACTATTGTGGTACATTTTGCAGTATAAAACAACTGAATGTGGTTTATTGTTATTAAACTATTATATTTGACATTTCCTCATTTAATTTTTTCCCCTAAAGCGAAATCCTTCCTTGCTTTAACACTGATGTAATGCCAGCTTTTCAGCTTCATCACTAGTTAATATATAGCCCTTGACAATGTGGTACTGCAAGATATGTATGTGTGTAATGTCTACAACTTATCATATTGCTAATAATCATTATTGATTCTCCGCAGGAATTAGAAACTTTGGAAAGTGATTTTAGAAAACAAGAAGAAATAATGAACAGTCTGGCCAGTAATTTACCAGTAAGTATGTTCTTATTTGATAAATATTGGTGGTAGTCACACTGTCCTACAGCGAAAATTCAGTATTTTATAAACTAATTTCAGTTTGGAATTGTGCAAACATTAAATGGCCTAATTCATCAAATTTGTGTTTTATTATGAACAATTAAATTCAGTTGTTGAATTGCAAAATATATTTTAAAAAAAGGGATGCTTTGCCAATTAAACATATATATACCTTTCCCTTCATGTTACTTGCTGATAGTTTTAAATTATTGAATATACTGATTTGTTTGTTTGAAAGCTATATCTTTTATATGACTTTTAATATGTCCTTTTCAATCATACCATATGATATATGGTATTTCAAAATATTAATATCTTGATATTTTTTGTTGTAATTATTAGTGTTTTTTTATTCATTAATCATAGTATTTAAGGTCACAGATCTTCAAAAAAAAATTGTTAGTGCTTCATTGAGCAAGGTTTAATTTTTGAGCAATTAAATTGCTTTTCCTTGTTTGTCAAAATAGGATTATGCATGCACCTGAACCTGTTGTTTTAGACATTTGAAGCAAGTAAAGATGGGACATATTTTTAAAAAATTCAACTTAAGTACCAAATGACCTGCCAAATAGCAAACATAATCACTTTTCTAAGGTGGCAATCCCTTCATTGATAAACATGATACTGTGCACAAACGGTGCTCTACACAGAAGACTCCCAATATGAGGCTTAGGAGTGGAGTTGTTTTGGTTTTGAGAAAAATAAATCCTGTTTCCAGGACAGGAATTGAACCCATGATCCTGGATTGCAAGGCAAGCTCCTAAACCAGTAGGCTATTCAATTCATCTATCCAAGAAGTAACACTGTTGGGAATGGTTTATGATATTGATGAAGAATTATGTTGATAATATGAAGAAAGCTTGAATTAAACCATTATCAATTTGTGATCAGTCATTACATGCCAATTTACAGTACCATAACATGACATTGATTTCATGTATTTATATTATTACTCTTTATTTTATTTATTTATTTACTAAATTATCTATTGAATGATGGATTAGTTAATCAGTTGCTTAATGATTGGACACATACTTGATTAATTTATTTATTGATTATTGATTGATTACTGTATTTATTTTTTCTTCTTAATTTTTTTCCCTTTTATTTCTTTATTTAGAAAATGGGGCACCATAGTTTAAGCTGTATTTTGCTTGTTTGTGGTTGTCCTATTCCATTTCATTTAATTTGATGCATTTGAATTGTACTGTTTTATGTTACTTGATTTGGAATAAATTACTTTTAAATTGAATTGAAGTTAATTCATTATTTTTGATGTGAGAAACTAGATCAAATTTTAAAAAACTAGGAAGTTCATTTAATATGTTTTTGTTCTGTCATTCCAAATTCTTCAGTCATTGCAAAATGTGTATGATGCTAGACACAAGACAAACTACTCTTTAACCAATGTTGTGTAGTTATATGGGAATTTGTCACTCATGCAACATCTATGTTTGATAATTATCTTCTTGTTAATTTAATTACAGAATATCACATTAGCACGCGACAAATGTGGTTTAACGCCAGTAAACTTTTTGGAACAGAAAGACAGGTCAAAGGTCCGTTCGTTGGCGCTCATAGAGTTAACGTCATTATTTGATAAATATGGCCTGCCCCTCCCACATGCAAGGAAACAGAACAGAAAGAAGACAAAAGGTAGGAAATAGTTTGAGATTTGCAATAATTTGACTCGTGGAAATCAGTACAACAACTTTTAAAAAGCAGGTCAGTGGTGGATTCATCGGGGAGGGGGAAATTGGCGCAATTATCCTTTCTCCCTTCCCATCACTAGAAATTCAACCTAATAAGGAAATATATTGAAAAAATTCTTTTTTGTTTTTCATATACTATCATGTAAAATAAATTTTCATCGATGATACATATTTCAGTTCAGTTTCAGTATCTTTGTATAAAATATACAATATAATTTACAATAAACTATAAAATATACTAACATAAGACAAAAAAATAATCACAAATAATTAAAATTTAGTAAGGATAGAAAACCAAAGAATTAGTTCATTCAACTCTATTACTGAAAAGCCTTCCCAGTTCTGCCCCTTCTGGCGACAGGAAAACGTTATCTGTTCAGCCAGATACATCCTTGATAAAAGTATAATTTTTTTTTTATGTTTAAGATAGTTTATTTATTTATATTATTTTTTAAATTTATGTATTATTTAAACTGGGAAGACAGTTTACTTTATGAGCTAGGATTGTTATGATGTTTTTGGAAGTAGAGCTTAAGGACTAAGCCTTGAAGATTTCATAGTTAGTTAAAATCATTAGACAAATTTAGAAACACTTACTACCAGCTTCCACAAGTCCGGAACAGAATAAATTTAAAGTTCCAAAAAGGATTCAGATAAGCCTTTACTTGATTGACATTTAAAGCAATAGTCACAATTATTGATAGACACATCTTCACAGTTAAAACTTTGTGATTAGAAAGAATTAAAAAACTTTAATTGATGATTTTTGCTTGTCTCTGGATGAGAAATCGCCAACTGTGGCTTTTTATAAATTAAATAAGGCAAATTAGGCCCGTTAATCAAATATACACACATTTGTCTTATTTTGTTAAAGTTAATTGGCTTTGGATTTTGTGTTGGTAAATATTGATGGATATACACTAATTCATTTACAGTGCATATTCTTCCTCTGCAGAGGCCATTGCTGGGGACTTCTCGGGGTGGGGATTCTCATGTATTGTCTGCTAGAAACGTAAATATTGGAATGGTACAGTCATCGTAATCTGTACCACAGACTTTCCATGACATGGACAATGCGGAGGAGGGGTGGTGAGGAAACCATGTAGGTCCCCAGCAATGTCGTCCTTTTGTAAACTTCTCATTGAATTTGTCTATACAAAAAAGCACTTTATTGACAATTTGTCTTTTTTTGAGTTTGTTTTTAATAGTCTTTTGATTTGTATCATACTGTTTGTTGACTTTTTGCGCTATTGTAAGATACACCTAAGCCAAATATTGGTTTTTTGTTGATGTTATGTTTGTCTTTTGATTTATTTTAAAGTGTCTTCCTTCAGAATTTCTTATTTGTCTTTGACTTGAACATCATCATCCAACTGTTGCTTTTGTGTTAGATAAGCACAACTTAACATGATACTCAATTATATGAGGGTATTTTTAACCATTTAAAAAAAATCGTCTTTTGATGTATATGTGGTAAATATTGATGTTTTGAGACTACAGAGCAGCTTTGGCATTTACACACTATGTTATTTATATGTGTGTGTCTATTTTGAAGAATTATTATATTTTTGCTGCATGCTTTGGAAGAAAAATGACAATCAAACAGTTGGTTTCATGGAACATCAGCCCAATTTTGTCTTGTCAATCAATATATATATTTGTGTATTTTGTGTATAATTGGCTTTGGACGTTTAAATGGCAAATATAAATTGATATATTGAATGATAAAAAAGATGTTTTTTTGACATTTTCATTTAATTATTACCAGTAATATTTCCATTAACTTCTTCCATGTTTCTTGAAATTGTTAAAAAATTTTTTTTTTTAGCTTCTTTATAATGATTTGACTCTACAAAATGTATACTGTGTAATAATATGGAGATGATTTACCACCGGAAATCGTGTTATTCTTGTCTAGGAGGCTTATTATTGCAAGAAATTAACTTTAATTACATATAAGCAGTGTTTTGTGCAGGGCAGAAATTGCCTATTTAATATTGCCAATTTTAAAACGACATTACTTGTCATTGTCAATTAAATCAAACATTAAATTTCCAGGTTAGAACCTGCTTCGTATAAAAATATAATTTGTAAATGGAATGAGGGGTGTAATTTTCTATAAATTGTGGTAAAGTGTCAGTGTTCCTTTATGTGTTTTTTTTTTCATGTTGGTGCACTTTTCTGTGACATAGTGATCCCTAAATAAGAACCGCATCTCCTGAAAAAGGTGAAACTTTCTGACGAAGTATCCGAGAGGGCTTCAAGTCACCAGCCATGATATACTGTATAGAAATTTTAGTTTATTTATTTTCATAATTGCCACTAACAGGCTGGTATCAAATTCATAAACACTCCAATGTCCAACAGGCTATATTGCACACGGTATCAACGGCTTAAACGTCTCATCCGAAAGACGGTGCACTATCGTAACTTGTATTCGAGCCCTCCGGCTGAAACACAAGCAGAGCAGTGATAGGAATTGAACCAGGGACCTAGAGATATCCACGGTTCTGCGCACACACTGGCTACCACCAGTTCTCCCAACTAAGCTAAGCTGCTCTGAGGAAAAATACATATGATCATAATGACAGATATAGAATCCTAGCATGTTGATTGACTGACATTTTTATCTTGTAAACATCTTGAAGCACATTGTTTTAATTTATTTATATAATTTTTTTTAAATAATTGTGCATTGATCCTCTGATTAACTAGCAATCTATGTTTATTTATTGTCTTTTCTTCTTTTTTTTTCAGAACAAGGAATTTTCGGTGTGCCACTGAATGTCTTAGTAGAAAATGATAAAAAACTGAAACCAAATGTTAGGGTACCACTATTTTTACAACAGGTATGTCAGCTGTTAGTAGTATTCAATTGTATGGATGTTATTTTAACCCAATTATTCTATTGATCGGCTATATATGGTGCTTATTTTTTTGACAGTGTGTCTTTAGCGCTGACCAGACTATCAAACTTGTGTATGCCCATATATATTCATGATGCACCTATATATGGTCATGATGTGATGTCATCATGACCATATTTAGACGTCACATGCTTTTGTCAAATAGAATTTGATTTTCTCGACAGGGCTTTCAAACAAACAAAACAGCTAGCTACAAATTGAAGGGTGTGTCAAAACATAGTGCACAATATATTCATAATAAAGTAAAAGGTACATCCAAACCAAATTAAAAAAGATGATTTCAATTCAAAACCATATTTCATGGTTAAATGTAGTTCACATATAAGTTGAACTTTCATTTTTGCCTGATATTTTTACAACAAAAAACGTTTATTAAGTGGCCAAAAGACGGATGTATCTTTGGTGCATCTTCCGGTCAGTTTTCAGTGACACAGTACTGATGCATTCAATAACAGGATTCAAACTCCAACTCGTATAATTGGACCCACCTTGAATATATACATGTTAGACATGTGTTTGTCTTTGTTTGCTTAGCTCAGGCTAATAGGAGGAAGTTCAAAATCACAACACTTTCTGTAGAAAGTTAAAAATCATTTCTAACCATCACAAATTCAAGTATCAGACTCTTCTACCTTAAGCTTTTATTGTAAGTTCTTACAAAAAATGGTACAATATATCAGGCCAATGACCAGAAGGGTTTTTCGAGCAAACACCTTTATGATACTACTGTCCCTTTGCATAAAAAATCATCAAAATGAGGATAAAATTCACCAATTCCTATGCCTAGCTTGAGAAAACCTTTCCCCAACCTCCAACTTCTGGGCACTACCAGTGCATCTAAGCCCCTCCCCCTTCATCCCATGAACCTTTGGCTCTCATGCTCTCATAGGAACCCCCTCAAAGAATCCCTATTGTTACTGGACTCATAAATTCATGAGGGTTATGTGGATAAAGCAGATAAAAATAATAATTTTTTTCCACTACCTGTCCTCTTCATGTAATTTGCAAAATTGAAAACCTTGATCACCTGAATACAAACTACCAACAGGTTTTTTTTTTTTTCGAGATGTCAATATTATTACGTTTTTCAAGGATGTTATTTTTTCTAATGACGTTTTGAATTTCACGGCGGATATGGACGATTAGCTGATGTGCAGTCGAATAGTGCTTTAAACCCAGTTTCTAGGACAATCCGTTTCCATGTTACGAAATTTGATATAACCATACTGACATTACAGATTTTGTTTCAAAATGAATGGAGACATTTCTACTTTTTTTAAAGTATACATAGTGACAATTTTAAATTGAATTATATTATTATTTGAAATTCAAAAAATTATTCTACTAAAAACGTCACTTTAGTAAAGCACTGTATTCATTTTGTCCTCATGAACTGCAAGTATACACTTTCGTGTAATATAACTATGTTAAATTTTAGAAATTTATCAGTAGTTTTATGTTAATTTTTTATAAAGCCTGTGTGAAAAATGTTCATTTCCTATTAAACTCTCTCTCTCTCGATTAGTAAAATCGCAGTTTGAAATAATGCAAAATTATATTTAATTTGCAATTAATTCCTACCCTGCTGTCAATATATAAATTTTGCTTGATCATCGAAGTGATAGCCTGTGTCTGAAAGTCAGCCCATGGTCGTTTAATTACGAACAATGCACAGGAGACATTTAAATGCTTAAACAACTGGAACTGTAACAGCTAATTATTGGAGAGTAGCTTTTGCACAAATTGTGAAACTCATGGTTAGCACTGAGGATGCTGAACTGTCAGAGTATCTAGTTCATTCTACTTCTTGCCAACTGTTTCACAAATTCTTATGCTGTACTTGCTAAACTGAAGTTGGAGATAACTGTGTAGACTGGTGGAATGGGAAAGGATTTGCACTTGGTACAGTAAGGAGTAGGAATGGATGAAGAGCCCCAAGATTCCCCAGAAGACTATAGCCCCAACTTCAACCCCTGTGCAGACTATCAAATTTATTTTTTTTTAAAAAGAAACAAGTGGCATGTCTAAATGTGGTCATGATGACATATTATGACCATATATAGGCACATCATGACTAAATATGGCCATAGAACAGTCAAAGAAAATGTGATAATCTGGACAGAGCATAGGCTTTATGATCCACTTGCTCACTAGTTTTAGGTAACATTCTGTCTTTTAAACCCTATGGGTCAGGTGGTTTGGCAAAGCTGTCTCCATTCTGTTTCCTAACCTTGTTGTTGGAGGTGAACCACATACTGTACTCACTCTCAGCCAGTAGCCATGGTTAGGTCCTAGATTGTGTTGTTGACGCTTTGTAAAGTGGCTCAGGATATGATAAAGCACTAGGTGCAAGCATTTTATGGGTTTAAAATTTGATTTTACCTGTGGGTTGTGTCAAAGGCATTCTTTGAAGTGAAAGCATCAAACAAAATTGTTTTAAGATATGTGAGCATTTGTGACAAAATGAGTTTTGTGGTACGATATTGAAAAATGAGTTATCAATATATTTAGATAGATAAATATATAACCTTTATTTTGGTTTTTAAATCATGTTTCTAGGTTGAGTAAAACCAGAGTAAAATCATTTTAAAGTTCAGTTGTCTAAAAAAGACAAAATTGCATCTAAAGAAACTGATAAATTTTGTGGTGGTTTTCATATCTCATTTAAAAAATAGCTTTAGAAAATGTGCCTCAAAAACATGATTACCTTAGGTAATTTAATTTGGAAATTTTGCTACTATGAAATATACATATTAAACTTATCAGAAAAATTGAAACCTAATTTTTATCAAAATATCACTTCAGATATTCATTTTGTCACGACAGCTCACATATAACAAAACAAAATGAGAAAATTGAAATTTATATTGAGCATGTAGACTTGCTTTAAGATAAAAAATATAATACTGTAGATAGATGTTTTGATATTTTGGTGGTGGAAAAGAATTTGTTTTGGACAAAAATTCTTGCTTGGAGGAATTAAAATGATCCAGTGAAAATACTTATAAGGCAAAAATCTGTAACAAATTACAAGAAGTGTGTTGTATTTTTATTGTTCCTGGGTTCACGTATTTTGTGAAGAATTAAACTTGTTGTGGTGTGTACATGATTATGCCTGCTTTGCATCGCTTCAGCCCAGGATGTATATATTTGAAAACGTAGCCAGAAGTAAACGAAGATAAACTGCTTGACAATCTCATATCCCAATTCAATTATTAATTTTGACATATTCTCATTAAACCAAAACAATGGTAAAAACACATTCTAATATTCATTCCTCTTTATTTTTGTCACATATAAAATAATATGTAAGAAAATTTGACAAAATTACAAATGTTAAAAAAAAAGATAAAAAATTAGAATGTTGTCGCTTTAAAAGGTTGTTTTTCAGTGGTCTTCGTTTGCCATAATTTTTAATGCAATTATTTTATCAAAGTTGATGAAGTGTAAAATTTTAAGCCATCCTTCAATGAAGCAGAATCTTCATGAATTTATTGTGTGTTGAAAGATTTTATGAGTAGAAAATTTTAGATTATATGATTATTCAGTTCATTGATTTTTATCTTAAATTGGAAGTCTGGCAAATTTACAGACTATTGTTCTCAGCTTCAGCTTAATTTCAAAAATTTAATGTCAATAACTTATTTTTTTTTTTCAATTTTGCTCAAGAAAAAGAGAGAGTAGTGAAAGCCAAGAATACATACACTCTACTATAAGTTATATAACCATAAGGTAATTTCACCAGAACAGAGTGTAAAATGGTACAGTAAAACATCCATTTTACGAACAAATTTTACGAATGACCTACAAAAGTGATCATCAACAAACGAAACGTCAAAAAGTCATATTTTTAAAGTAATAAAGCAGCATTGCCACATGGGGTGGGAGAAGGGAGATGACCCCTCAATGGCAGCAAATTAGTAAGTAAGTAATTTAAAATACTAAAAATGACCATTAAGTTTTCATTGGATAGGGATTTAGTTCCACATTCTAGAAAGTATTTCTGCATTCGCATTTATCGCAACCGATTCCTCTATGCTGAAAACTAGCCTACGCACCTGAGCATATTATTCTTGATAAAAATATGTTTGTTGTATTGTTTTTTAAATACTTAAGTTTGTTAGCGCTGACAATTATTCTACTATTATAACTCCTTGATTATTCCAATCCCCAATACAACAATTACATTAAGTGTTTAATCTAGCCGAATTAGGCCCCATAAATTTATCACAGTATTTGTGTTATCTTAATACTGTATGACGTCAGCATTCCTCATTATGTCTCTTTGGTTGAATGACCCGACTCCCACACACGCCTTGTTAACATGATCAGTCTACCCTAGACAAGTTTGTGCTCAGCGTGATACCACAAACAAACTGATGATGATATTGTTATCATTTATGTTCGGGTGAATGACTTGATTCTCATGTGTGGCTTATTCAACATCACTCCTCATTACGTTGATTATATAATTATGTAACACTCAGGCATATCGATCGCACATAACCATCGGCAAAATACAAAGGTACACAAAAAGATACATAATCCAGTTAACAAACTTTTCAATTTACGAATAACCCTTGGTAACAAGGGGTATGTAAAATGGACGTTTTTTGTTGATATAAGATTGTAAAGTTTGTCTATGATATACAGTCATATCATAGACAAACTTTACGATCTTATATCAACTTGCATCAACCAATTACAAATCATACATGACAGGTTAGGTGGGAGAAGCAGGCAAAGTATTAAACATAAATCATTAATAATTTCGAACAACCTTTCATCAAACCCATCCGCTTGCTCCAAAGATGGATCCAATATGTATTTTCAGGCACCCATCTGTTCTTTGTTAAAACATCATCAAAAGCTTCATCACAATACACTCAAAATTAGCTTTGCTAATTAAAGTTGTTTTTTTTTCTGGTATTGGCTGTGTAGAGGTACTGGGAAGCAGCCGTCATATTCAATATCCTCTGCCCATTTTTAAAGAGAGAGCACTGTAAGATTTCAAGATCTGAGACTAAAAAACATATAGCAATTTTTACTTGGATTTAATGCTACTTTGTATATGCTAACTGTGTAGTTACCACTATACTTTAGTGCTACTGTGCTTTGGTGCTACATTGTTGTCATTGGAATATTTAGAAGTCTTAACAGATACCCAAATACTACTCAGATACTTTGGTCTATATGTAACATACCATACAAAGAGTTGTTTCCCATTGGAAACATGATGGAGAGTGAGTAGAACAATTGGATAGTGGGAAGGGGGTACTAGCAGGAGAATTGAGATATGCAATATTGATGAACATTTTTCTGGAAGTGGGGAATCTATGCCCTCCCTTACACTTTCCTTTAGGTTAGCCTAACACCATTGGTTTTAGTGATATTCCATTTTATATTGGCTTGAGAATGGAATAGAGGCAATCAGATTTCTAAAAAGAAACTCTTTTAAAATAAACTTTAAAATGCCATTATTGTATTTGACTGGAATCTTGTCCTCAACTCTGTAAAAGGCTCAAATATGTATATCTGATTTCAAACGTGACTGAGATTCCTAAACTTTATTAGACAGAAACATTTAATGAAGACCCACCATTTCCCTTGTGATATTTTTAACCGATGGACTGTCGATCCTGTGGTGCATGTTTCCTTGATAAGCAGCCTTAATCACTAAAAGACACAGATAAACAGGGTCTTCCCTTTTTGATACAATCAATCTTTAATGTGGGTTGCAAGTTGCCTGCGGTGTAATTCAGCTCAAAGGCCCAATCTAATTGATATTACCACAGATCACATAACACCTGTACTAGGTTACTTGTTTTTGACCTGCTCATGCTTTATGATCAGACCAAATAAGTTTATAATGTAAGGTGGTTTACGTTCTAGCTGAGTCATTTTTCTAATAGATGTGTTTGTAAGAAAACAGAGGACCTCGTTAATGTGTCATCCTTGAAAATTTTAATATCCTGAGTTTGCTTGGTTATGTTGTAGTGCCTATATACCATCATGTTACTGAATGCTAGATGTACTATGCAGGCATCAACATATGCACATGAGAGCGACCTTTTATATGAGCACTCAAGCACCAGTAACTGAACACAGAGGCGTTCAGTGATATACAGTACTTGAGAGCTAGTTAATAAAGGCGAGACTTGTTCAGCAAACCCGCCGCCCTGAAAATATGGAAATTTGGGAAAAAAATAGTTTTTCTTTATTTTTATTATGCCCGCCACTGTCTTGAAATCTGCAAAAATAACATGTTTATATTTCTCCCTAGTTATATAAATTTAAAGCATTTATTCCTCCCATTACTACACTGTTTACATTCACCAATAAAATTTTATTTTTATTTTCTTCTCCGTCTATATTTTGGCAATGGCAAAATTATTTGCTAAATCAGAAAACAAAATTTTATTTTGATTTTTTTCCGTCCTCCTCTGACGATCTTCTTAAAAAAATAAGTTTGCTAAACAAGATATAAAAAACCTCTTACCTTAAACATGAGACCAAATAACAGTGACCTACTTAAGCACATGAGAGCCAGTTACAATGACCTACATTGAGCACACAGAGCAATCAGTGACCTACTTGACAATGTAAAAGCCAATCATAGTGGCTTACAAGAACAAGTAAATCCACTACAAGAGCATAGAGCCAGTTTTTAATGACCTAGATATATGTGTGAGCCAGTTTCAGTGACCTATGACCATGTGAGAGCCAGTGACAGTGAAGCATGTAAGAGCAAATTACAATAACCCTCCAATGCAGTAACATACATGAGCATGCGAAGAGCCATGCAGTAACATGAAATAACCTACACGAGCATGTGAGAGCCAGTTACAGAGAACTACATAAGCATGATGTGAGAACTAGTTATATTATACAGTATGACCTACATGAGCCTGTGAGAACCAGGTTCAATGTCTTACATGAGTATGTGAGACCTAGTTACAGTGACCTACATGAGCATGCAAGAACCAGTTACAGACAATTACATGAGTATGTGAGAACCAGTAACAGTGACCTACATAAGCATGTTAGAGCCAGTTATTTTATACAATATGACCTATATGAGCCTGTGAGAACCAGGTTCAATGACTTACATGAGCATGTGAGACCTAGTTACAGTGACCTTCATGAGCATGCAAGAACAAGTTACGGACAATTACATGAGTATGTGAGAACCAGTTACAGTGACCTGCATAAGCATGTGAGAGCCAGTTAAGTGACCTACATAACCAGTGAGGACGAGTGACTGACAGTTTATTATGAAAGTTAATTTCATTTATCTACATAAAAGCACATGAAAGCAAATTTAACATGTAAAATGACACACATCACTCAACTGTTTAAAGAGATGCAGGGTAACAATTTTAATCTTTGTGGCATGTTTACTATATTTTTTTTTTTTCTTTCCAGTTAATTTCCAAACTAGACGAAAAGGCTTTAAAAGATGAGGGCGTTCTTCGTGTTCCAGGGTCAGCAGTTAGAATTAAGGTACAGTACTGTTATTCATACCTTTAAACAGAATACCAACAAAATTAGTAACCTGAAGGAACAATTATTAGAGAAAATTTTTTTTAATGCATTTATTCAAATATATCGCATGCATGCAAATTATATGCAGAAAGTCACATCAGTATGTAAATTTTTATTGATTCCTCCATTCAAACAAATAGTTTCTTAAAATCAATAGTAGAATCACTTAAGATGTGATAAGCAGAAGATATATAATGATATTCATTTATCATTCTTCAAATAGCATTAATGTATTATGATCTTTATATCTGTGATCTTACATGTATCTTACACCTGCCATATCTCACGCATAACGTGTGAGTCTCATGCATGAATATCCACATTTTACATCTCGCGCCTATGTTGTATTATCTCACACATAAAAGTTTTATAAAAAAGAAAATGTATAGCCTGATTATACCCTAAAATTCATAGAAATGAAGTGAATTCATCATTAAAATGTGATTAAAGGCCAAATGATGACTTGCTTAAGTTAGAGTGTGCTCTATTTAATGATTTTTACATAGAGGATGCCATATATACAAATTTTAATTTTTTTTTTTGTCTCGTGCGTTAGACGCAAACAAAGTTAATAGGTATAGTATCTGTAAAGCCATTTCGTTGAATTGTGAGAACATGTCAACACACTCTACTTATCCTCAACCTAGTAAATTAGCGACAATGTTTCTTGACCTAAATAAACAGTCAAAGAAAATTGCTTAACCAGTAAAGAGATACAGGAATGAAAAATTGCAATTATTCGATTAATTCCCAATGCACTGGAGCAGGGAATAACAACTAATGACTGGATCAACATTTTAAGAAATAGTTCTCAGCACACCTGTGCTCACTGCAAGGTGCTAATTTTTCCCCGCAGTTTAAGAGCGGTTTTTCAAGGGTATTTGATATTTATTCATAATGATGAACACATTGAGATGTGGACTGTGTGTTACTATGTGGTTCCTCGTACTCGATGGATTTACCATTCAAATTGATGGTTTCCGTATTGCAGGCTGTATTAAATTTATCAATTTGTGAGGTTTCCTCTGTTGTTTCATATGCATGAATTTTGTTTGGATGTTAGAAAAAGTCACATGACTTAATGACAAATACCAATAAGAATTTCTATAACTTGGAAGTCTTGCTGCTTTTATATAGAAAATTAGTTTATTTGTTTTTTTGGGTTTTTTTTTAATGGCAAAAAAATTCCCCATATTTTGAATATATTTTTTGTTTATTGACTGTCACTCCATTAGTTGATTATAATATCACATATAACTTAATTTAAC